CCCACTGAACAGTCTAGGGCCTGGACGTGTGCCTTTTTCTGCGAGTGGTTTGCCTACTCTCGTTGCCCACCAATATGCTGCCATTCATCATTACAGGACTAGGCGTCCGCGTTGGGATAAATCTTTCGCGGCTATTCGCTGTGCTCGTGCTACGGCTCAGAAAAAACGAGTGTAACAAGGTCTTGAAAGGACCAACAGGAAAAAGGGATTTAGCGACAAGGTTCGCCAAGCTTCCGCTTTAATTGAGAGATGCACGGAAAGACACCTGGCATCAGTTGGTTAGCCTCAACGTTGGCCCTTATAGGCCTGGATGGAAACAGGCGGTGAATAATGGAATCCTACTGTTAAGATTTGTGCTCGTTGTCGAGGAGGTTGTTCAAGGGAACTGGTGTTAGTGCTGCAAACGTTTTTTGTTATGGCAGTTACGAGGCCTCGAGAGGTCCTAGAATGACGATGTGGAAGGAAAAAACTGCTGGGGATGAGGCCGTTCTTGATTGGGATAAATTGCCAGTGAAAGAGCATGTGCTAGGGGCAAGCTTGTCACATGGGTGAAGTGAAGTGTCGCATCATGCGTGCTGGAATTGGCAAAAAGGAGCGTCAGTGCCTTCGTTCCAAGGCGCAGCCGCATGGTCTCTCCGTCAAGTTTGGCAGAAGACCCCCGTCGCTCAGGACTTGCTTCGTGCCTGGGGTATTTCCAAACAAGACGATGGCTACTTTTTCAAAGGGTTTGTTACTCAGGTCCGCTAAGTGCGTTTCCCGCCGATACAGCGATACACCGAAACTGGTATCAGCGCGTGCGCACTGATGCACCGACACACCGAAACCGGTTTCAGCCCGTGCGTGCGCCGATGTACCGATACATTGGAACAGGTTTCGCCGCATGCGCGCACCCATACACCGATACACCGAAGCACCGAAAACGGTTTCAGCGCAGGCACGCGCCGATACGCCGATACGCCGATACACGAAAACCGGCTTGGGTGCATGAAATGATTTTTCAATGGTAGCTGTTCTGTTTGAGCTTTTTTTCCCAAGGCAGGATTGCCCAGCCTTTGCCACACTCGACCTAGGCGCCGACTTCTTGGACACCATGTGCATGATTGTTTTTTGACCGTGGCAGGAATTTTGTTCCGTTCCTTCCATCATATCTGAAAGTTTTTTTTGACGAGCTGAGACTTCTTGCATTGTTCTGTAGGCATGTGTCTGTCACGAGCAGCGCGACGGTTGTCCCCCTTCGCATTGTTACAGTAGGCTCTGTCCAGCAATCTTGCTCAACGTGTGGCAGGTTGATGTCCATTTGCGACAAGTTCCCAACCGCAAAGAAGATATGTGCATCCAATATGATGTCGTACCTCCGTGCATCCTTACTCGTGTGTACGCGGTCGGTTTGTGCGGAAACAAAGAAGGCGCGCTTAGATAAGGATTGCGCAAACAAAGCTCGCATGAAGTTATTGTTTCCAAGCCCTAACAGAATACACAGGCAAAACTCGCTTTTTGATTTCAGCACATGCGCGCGCACGCACGCACAGCAGCATGCAGCCCGACTAGCCGTTGCATGTGGAATCCAACAAACAAAGACAATATGACAATAAGTCTGAAAAGCCCATGTCGGACTGCATGCCTTGACCGCATCCCCAATCAATTCTCGAAAGTAAGCATCACTAAAATCGATGATCCTGAAACTACCAGCTGGCGTTTGGATTCGCAAGTCGGCAGGATCACTGATGCTCCACTGATTTTTTTCTAAAACAAATCGGAGAATCCTGTGGTGCCCGTTAACAGCCCCAGACTTGGGAACAGGAGTACTGTAAGCCTTCTGAAAAATTCCACGAGCAGCAGCAGGATCCTTTTTGGAAATTTTGCGCAACCCCCACAAAATGTGCAAAATCCACTTCGCGAGGGGGTCAAGAAACGGGTCTTTCTGAATTATGAATTGCTAAAATTAAAGCTGGTGACCTGATTTTATTGTTGGATGGGTCCAAAACATTCACAACTGCAGTGCGAAGGGCCCGAATATCCCGAATGGACACCCCTTGGGTTTCAGTGCCAAAGATCCATTTTGAATGCCCATGGATTTGAACATACGAGGCCCTATGGTCAGCAGGGATAGGAAGGGACCGGATTCTTGAAAGTGTACTGTGAACCCTTTTCCTTTGAAGGGTCGAATCCCGAGTATTACAGCTTTGATGGACTCTTCCCAAAGACTTGACTTGGCGGGCAACAGCAATGGGTCTCCCAACCATTTTGCGGATTTTACGAGCATCCTGTTTTGTAGGGGCCAACACTTGAGATTTCTTGTCATTCAAGACCTGCCCTATGCTTTGATCAAATTCGGAAATATACTCGAATGCTTCAACCACCTGATGCGTGAATTGCTGAAAACCCCAAATCTTGCAATCATCAATGAAGGTAGAGATAGAAACTTGAGGGACAACTTTTTGAAGACTCCTAACCAAAATAGAATACATAACATTAACCATCATAACACTCATGGAACAACCATGAACAGCAGCATTACAAGAAAGAACGTGCCCACTAAAAAAGGAACCAATTTTGAAACACTTAACCTGATCGGTGTAAAATCCCAAAACGGCCCTACAAATCAAGGGGGGCAACCCCACACTCTTAGCAATGCCAATTGCCACCTGGGGTATCACGAGGTCGAAACATTTCAACCGATCGATAAAAATTGCTACAGCTTTCTGTTCCTTTCCCTTCCTTTTCTTCTATGTATTTGTTCATTGTGCAGGAGAATAGGGGTGCCCTTTTCTCTTTTGCTCTTCCCTTTTCTCGTCCTTCTTTGCAAATGCGCGTGATGGTGGCCCGTTTGACCCCCCCCCACGGCGGTCGCATTCTAACTGAAGGATCAACTGTAAATATACAGCCACAAAGTTAGAATGCGGCACAAAAGTATTGGTGAGAAAATGTAAGTTTTGACTTTTATTTAAAGAAGTTATATACAAACGCGCTATAACATCGTCAGCGGAACTTTCAGTCAGCCTGCCAATGCCACTGGGTATTTTCCCATTGATCTATATCTGCTGTAGTTTCCGTGGGCATTCTATCTGTTGTTTTTCCCCACGCTAGCCGCGTGCTTGTGACCTAGAGGCCTCTTGTCCGATCTTACCCGCTTCCCTCTCCTTGTCCTTTTGTTTGTATAATGTTCCTTTCCCTTCCTTATCTTCTGTGTATTTGTTCATTGATCTATATCTGCGGTAGTTTCCGTAGGCATTCTACCTGCTGTTTTTCCCTCTGTAGTCACGTGTTTGTGACCCGCTGGGGAGTGTTTTGGGGTTAAGAGGTGTGCCCCATCGCACGGCCTGCTTCGACACTTTCCGCGCATCGTCTCTCCACGTAGCCATGCGTGAGGCAATCTGCATTTGATCATTTTGCGGCGTGTGGTAGCGCCAAATTTTGATGAGCTCTGTTTTGGACGTGGGAGAGCAAGCCTTTTTAAGGTTGGACGGTTTTGATCCCAGCTGGCGACAGTCCCTGGTTGTGGTCAGTCATCGAAAGCGAAACAAATTGGTGTGCATCGTTAGAGTGTTGGATCAGGAGATCTCAGGGATCCACGACCAGGTGACTTTCTTTGAGCTAGGTGGCAGCAAATATATCCTAGTCGAGGGTCGGCCTGAGCAGCTGAGAGGAACTTGCTCCCAGCCGCACAGGGCATTAGAGCAGAAAACGGACAGGTTGTTGGCTCGATGCCAGGAGGTGCTGGAGCAGGACAGTCTCCTGTACCTGACTGCATCAGAAGATGCGGAAGACTTTGCCCCAAAGACAAAGACCAAGACCAAGGAACTGGACTCCTCTTCAGAAGACAGCTCAGACCAGGATTTGAGCGACGAGGAGGATGCAGTGCTTCGACTCTTGGGCAAAGCCAGCAAGAGCAGGCAAGACACTGGTATCGCCAAAGGCTCGAAAGAAAGAAGCGCACCAAAGGAGAGGTTCCCGCTGCTAAAGGGAGAAAAGGACAAGGAAGCGGAAGCTGTAGACTTAGACAAGTTGCTTGCTCAGGCTTTGTCGACCAGCAACCCAGCGAGCTCCAGCACAGGGCTCAACACCCTCATATCGCTGGAGCTGCTCAAAGCAATCAAGGGCAAAAGCAAGACCAAGCGGACCCATATGCTGGCCCGGGAGGACGAGGACACCCCAAGCAGTTCAGACGACGATCAGGACGACATCAAGCTCACCGGTGCCGGGAAGGCCCTCAGAAATTACAGACATGGCCACAAGATGATGCGCAAAAGGCCGCTACGACATGTACGTCGTTACATAGAAGAAATCGAGAGCGTCATGGGAGTGAGCCCAGAAGTTCCTTACCGCATATCCGATTACACAAAGCGAATCAACTGGAACAAACAGAAGAGCCTGATGCGAGTACATTTTGCTGTGTCAGAGCTGCTGAAGTCGATCCTCAAGGGCAAAAGCAACCTCGCTGCTCTGCAAGCGGTGCAGCTCTTGCGAGCCTGTCACCAGAGCAGCCTAGACCAAGGCAGCTGGAAAGCCGCCTCCTTGCTCCTTGGACATCAAGATCCGCTGGAGCGTCCAAGGTTCGGAGGAGAACCGGATCAGCTCGAAAAGATAGCAAGCTATTTAAAGGCAATGGACGACTTGGAAAAGCGCAGCAAGAGCAACCAGCCTTTGCCTCCAGAAGCAGATCCCGCCAAGAAGCAGAAAGGAAAGGGCAAATCAAGAAAAGTAGACACCTCCGGGGAAGCCGACGAGTGAGCGGTTTACCAAATGAGTTGCCAAGGGAGTCCGAAGCGACTCTTTTGCTTGAGCTGATTAAATGCAATCATGGATCTTTCAGACGATTCTTCAAGATCTATACTAGGTCTCGCGTAGAGACAGGGGACAGTACACCCTTGCAGCCTGCAGGGGAATCCACCATAACATTGTTTCCGTCAAAGCTCCCATGGGATAAACCACCGGGTAAGTCCAGGGGTAGGCGAGGCCCTCAGGGTAAATTGCGCTGGGAGGCTTACAAGTGGCTAGTGGTTCTCTGGGGCCAAGTTGCTTAGGTACGTATCCCATCCTAGGGGGACCATGGATAGAGGTACTGCCAAGCTTAACGATCTAATTAGTAGAATTAAGCAAAGTAATTACGATCCTAGCCTGCCTTTTGAAGAAGCGTTCACTGGGGCCAAGCCGGTTGATGCCAGCCGGGTGTCACTGCCAGAAAAGGCCGCCATCATTGATCCAAAGGATCACCTGACGGGAGACAGGTTGCAAGACTTTCTGACAATGCCTGAATGGGTTCCCAGCCCTTCTCAAAAAATTGAAGGAAGCAGACATGATTGATTTTGTGCTTTGGGATGATGTGTTGAAGGAGAGGGGAAAACCAGTAAAAGGGGGCTTGTTCTGTGTTGCGCACAAAACTTCTTCAGATAGATTAATCAATGATCGGCGTCCACTTAACGCAAGAGAAAACAGGTTGAATTGGTGTTCTCTCCCGTCGGGCCCGATGCTGTGCCAGCTGTTGCTGGAGCCGTCTGAGAGCCTCGGAGGATCAGGCGACGACTTGTCAAATTATTTCTACTTGATTAAGCACTTGAAGGGTTGGATCCATCACAACTGTTTTGTGGACCCCATAACAGGAGTTTTGTGCGTTCAACTAGGCCTAGATCCATCTCAAAAATATCTTCCAGCATTTAAAGTTGTCTGTATGGGAGACACCAATGGGGTTGACATAGCCCAAGCCACTCATGAGGCGATCCTCAAGGCTGCCAGGTGCATGGATGAGCACAACATGCTAGTCTATGGCCGCACTTTCCCCGCTTCTAGGACCTTAGAAGGATTGTACATAGACGACCATATTGTTATTCAGGTAGTAAACAAAAAAATAACAGGCCGAGGGGCAAAGAAACAGATGAGGTTTTGATGGAACAATCCCGAAGTAGATACCAAGAGCTACAACTACCCAGGTCAGAGAAAAAAGCGTTTGACAAAGAATATCATTTCAAAGCTTGGGGTACTTGTGTTTGTTCCCAAACTGGTAGGATTGGTTCCCCTCAAGAAAAACTTCGTCAGGTTGAAACTTTGGCCACCGAATTAGTGAGGGAAGGCCTCGCGACCAAAAAAGCTTTGCAGAAGTTAATTGGCCTTTTCATCCACCCGTTCATGCACCGACGGGAATGTATGGGGCTTTTTCATCATGTTTACGCTTTCATTGACCAGATGCCCGACAAAGGGCTTCGAAAATTGCCGCCATATGATGTGAAAGATGAGATCCTCTCCGCGGCGCTAGTGCTGCCTTTAGCGGAGGCATCTGCACGCTGGCCCGTTTCTATACAGATATCAGCTTCAGATGCTAGCTCCGAAAGCGGAGGGAGGGCCAGCACCATAACTAGTAAAGCCATGGCTAAGACCCTTTTTAGATTTTCTGAAAAGAATGGAGAGTATACTAGGTTGGACTGGGATATGCATGGCATTCCTCCCCCTAGTTCTATGTCGGTTGCCCCTAAGCCATTGTTGGATGCCCTCCAAAAACATCACTGGACAGCCACCCAGTCCATCAAACTGGGAAAGAGGGAGCATATAAATATCCTCGAACTTGAAATGATCAAGCAAGAAATAAAATCTAGAGTGAACAGTGGCAGGGGAGGCTGCCGCGTTGTGAATCTTTGCGACAGCCGTGTGGCTTTGGGCTGCTTTGCAAAGGGCAGGTCAAGCAGCAGGAACTTGAACCACAAACTCAGGAGTTGTGTGCCTTGGCTTTTGGCTGGAGATATTCACTTATCATATTTTTGGGTACCCACTGATATGAATCCGGCAGATTACCCAAGCCGGGGTAAAGAGATTCCACCCCCTAACACTAGCTTGCAGGACCCCCTGCTCGATGAGCAGGTTTTACAGGCGGTGCAAGTCAGACGACCAATGCAAGTGCAGGTTTTATTGGATCTCAGCGGAATGGTTCAGATCCGATTCATAATAACCCGGGGTATCCATGTAAGGATAAGGATGATTATTCACTTGGGAAGTCAAATTCGCCCTCATCGTTTGGTTACCTTATTGACACCCCAAAAAAGAGCAGCCCATTTAAGACCACCAAGCTAGAAAAAGAAGTCGTGCCGGAAGCTCGCGACCGCTCAGTGCCCAGATACATTTTTCGAGAGTTTTTCACAGGAAAAGAGAGGCTTTCAGAACGCATGCGCTTGAACAGCCGCCTGGTGGTTGCAGATGCTTGTCAGTATGTGAAGAAAGGGACAAAAGTAGAATCCCACATCATGTTTGACAGCGTTTCTTTCAAGCAGTTGTGCTTAGATGCAGCCAAGCCATGTCAATTGTGGCATTTCGGACTTCCATCTGCGTCATTTTCTGTGTTGCAGCATTCTAATAAGGGGACCCGTAGGTGGGATAGGCCAGAAGGGGATGGTAGTGTGGAACGTGAGAGATTAGGAAATGAATTGTTGCGTAGAACTTGCTTCCTCATCGATATCCTTGAAAAACACAACAACTATTGGACCCTTGAAAACCCGCTGTCCTCGTACATTTGGTATATGCCGCAACTCGTGAAGAAACTTGACCCCGATAGCGAATCTCATGCTCAGTTTGACCAATGCAGTTATGGGTTAAGAATCAGGGGTGATATGGGCCATCCGGAACCATGTAAGAAACCAACCAGAATGATCGGTAATTTGCCTGGTCTCAGCTCACTGTCAGCACACTGTCAGTGTCGGTGCAAACATGTGCGTGCAGTGGGAGGCATTCGAACGCCGACAGGGTGGAAAAACAGGTCAGAACTTGCAGGGCATTACCCCATCAAGCTTAGCGATGCGTATGTGCATGTAGCGGCCACGGCCTTGTGTTCTGTTTGTCACGCGCAGTGATAAAGAAACAATCTTCCCTTTGAAGAGTCATATTGGCATGAGGATCAATTGTACAGTGCACGATTTGCATGATGTTGAAGTGTTTAAGCAAGAGACTAAAGGTCCACAGACCTAAACCGTAGATAGCATGAGCCATGGTTCCCGACCACGACCCGATGCCACCTTGTATCGCTTGAGCCGTTTTTCGAGCCCTTCCTTAGGGATTTGCAAACTTTCTGCGACCGGCATCACCATCTCACATTGAGGGCTGTGGCAAGTAAAAGAAAACTATCAGATGCTGTTCTGGGTGAATATGTCGTGTCACGAGTTATCGCTTGTCAAACATGCACTCTTAGGCTTTCAGCACGTCTTTCCCCAGTTACGAGGTAAGCTTGCCACATGTTGGGAGAACTTGAAAGTGTGGGAAGAACAGCGCGCTACGAAACTCAGGCCGCCTCTTCCAGTCCCACTGTGGCTTTTCATGGTAGGTCTTGCTAGAGCCCACGCAAAGGTTGCAGAAGACAAGCACAGCGCACATGTGGCGGGTTTTTAGCGTGCTCCTTGAAATAGGGCTATTGTGCATGTTGCGCCCAGGTGAGCTTGTGAAACTATGCCATACAGATGTGTGCTTGCCAGGGTCGTTCACGCTTTGTCAGAACCATGCTGCGCTTCGGGTTGTCTCCCCCAAAAACCGACCTCAGTTTGGTGAGCACCAGTTTGTGTTGCTGAAACATGCTAATGCTGTTGAGTGGTTGCGTAGTATTCACGACCCAAGTAATGCAGGGACACTTTGGCCATGCAAGAAACCTCGCTTTGCTGCTTTGTTTAAGCAATTGGCTGGAGAACTTGGAATAAAAAATTGTGGATTTACCCCCAGTAGCTTGAGGCCTGGTGGAGCCACCATGTTCTATAACATTGGTGTGCCCATAGCTTCTTTAAGGTTCATGGGTAGATGGTCAGTGGAGCGGTCTTTAGAGCACTACGTGCAACTCGCTATGGCCACGCAAATTCTCAACCGGTTGGCTCCAAGAGCAGTGTCGCGGCTGAAGAGGCTAGCGTCTTTGTGTCTCCTGCAAGTCCCGTCAAAAGACTGGACGCATCAACTTGCCGACAGTGTTCACACATTGCGCAACTCACCAGCATCACAACTATTAAATTGGTGTAACACATATGTTTCTTTAGCCTAAATGCAACGCCTTGTAGAGCAGCATGGCGATCGCACCGTCGTCGGTGGTGCCCTTTCTGGCTCGCTCTTTAAGTCGTTGACCGAAGAGCAGTTGCGCAGGGCTGCAAAAAGGTATCCCACGGATCCCAATCTGCAGAAGTTTGCCAAAGCCAAAGTAGCAATTCTAGAATTAGATGCGCAGAGTGAGCCGCTTCCATTCTTGCCCGTGCAGATTCAACCCAATGCTAACCCCGCGCAGAGACCTGCATCGGCTGCACGGCAAGTGGGAGAAGCCAGCGCATTTTCAAGATTTCGGAGTTTGCTACAACATAGGTACGTGCTATATGTTGTGTTGTTAGGCCTGTATGTTTGCATGCTGAAACCTGCAGTTTCCACTCTGTTAACAAGGCATCTTGTGAGGGGCGTCAGGCTTTTGGTTCGGCAAGTCACTCATTTTCTTTGTCTCCTTGTGGACGGCGTGTTGGATGAGCTAACTTACCAGCTTGAATTTGCAATTCGCGAAGCTTTGCCATCCAATTTAGAAGACGTGCCTAGGGCCACCATGTCCTTTTTGTCACATGTTTTATCAGCCACCACAGGAGCAGTGATTTCTTTGCTAAGCCAGCATATGTATGCCAGGCGCGTGCAAGTTGCCTGGCGCTCCAGCAGCGCCCAGGTGGCTGCTTGGACCACTAAATGTGCTTTTTGTGATTTTCCTCCTCCTCCCCGCCTCATCACCAACGGTGGGGTTGGAAGCACTATCAATCCTTGCACAAACGATTTTGCTGACTTGACCTCACGGTTGCAGAAGAACTTGAAAAGTAGTATGGAAGTTTTCCGGTGCCAATCCAGCATTCTTTCCGGCTTTCCTTCCAGCTTTCTTTCCAGAATTCTTTCCGGCATTATTGGCAGCAGTTTTGATGGAGTTTTCTCTTTGGGATGCTGAAAGCATCCACACACAAATCACTCATAGTGTCCCCAGCTTGCAAAAGAAGGCCGCCGCAGATGCACAAGCAAACATTATGCACGCACAAAAAAAATATTTGGGCAACATGTTGTCCTTATAAATAAACGTGAAGGACTTCACAGTGCCCGGCCAGGACGGCACAGGTGGCTCGAAAAGTTGGGAATGTGGTGCATGTACATGCACAAACCTATATCCATCCAAACAAATGCGTATGTATACATATATATCATGATGGCCTACAAATGCCCGATTTCAACCCTTCGGGTGTGGACAGAAAAAAACAAACTTAGAACATTTGGAGTAGAAATATTTGGGGTTGAATTTTGGAGTGCATAAACAGTGCCAAAGCAAATACCAAAGGAATAACGATATTCCCATATCGAAAACATGTGTGAAACCCAGCAGATTGGACATTTTTTTGGTGTTTTGGGTAAGTTTTGGATCACCATTGCCAAATTTAAGGCAATCATTGTACGGACAAATGCACAAGCATCAAAGGAAAAAGAAAAGCAAGGGTAGGAACAGAAGAGAATACAAGCGAACACCCTCTTTGCATTAAAAGAATGCGTGTACGACACCGGTCGTGGAGTGTACCTTTTCGGTGAGCCTGAAAAATATATATTTTTTTAAATATTGGCTGGAAAGCCGCCTCCTTGCTCCTTGGACATCAAGATCCGCTGGAGCGTCCAAGGTTCGGATGGGAGAACCGGATCAGCTCGAAAAGATAGCAAGCTATTTAAAGGCAATGGACGACTTGGAAAAGCGCAGCAAGAGCAACCAGCCTTTGCCTCCAGAAGCAGATCCCGCCAAGAAGCAGAAAGGAAAGGGCAAATCAAGAAAAGTAGACACCTCCGGGGAAGCCGACGAGTGAGCGGTTTACCAAATGAGTTGCCAAGGGAGTCCGAAGCGACTCTTTTGCTTGAGCTGATTAAATGCAATCATGGATCTTTCAGACGATTCTTCAAGATCTATACTAGGTCTCGCGTAGAGACAGGGGACAGTACACCCTTGCAGCCTGCAGGGGAATCCACCATAACATTGTTTCCGTCAAAGCTCCCATGGGATAAACCACCGGGTAAGTCCAGGGGTAGGCGAGGCCCTCAGGGTAAATTGCGCTGGGAGGCTTATAAGTGGCTAGTGGTTCTCTGGGGCCAAGTTGCTTAGGTACGTATCCCATCCTAGGGGGACCATGGATAGAAGTACTGCCAAGCTTAACGATCTAATTAGTAGAATTAAGCAAAGTAATTACGATCCTAGCCTGCCTTTTGAAGAAGCGTTCGCTGGGGCCAAGCCGGTTGATGCCAGCCGGGTGTCACTGCCAGAAAAGGCCGCCATCATTGATCCAAAGGATCACCTGACGGGAGACAGGTTGCAAGACTTTCTGACAATGCCTGAATGGGTTCCCACCTCTTTAGGGTCATCATGCACCCCAAAGCCGTGCCACAAAGTCGATAGCAAGCAATGGCCAGCCCTTCTCAAAAAATTGAAGGAAGCAGACATGATTGATTTTGTGCCTTGGGATGATGTGTTGAAGGAGAGGGGAAAACCAGTAAAAGGGGGCTTGTTCTGTGTTGCGCACAAAACTTCTTCAGATAGATTAATCAATGATCGGCGCCCACTTAACGCAAGAGAAAACAGGTTGAATTGGTGTTCTCTCCCGTCGGGCCCGATGCTGTGCCAGCTGTTGCTGGAGCCGTCTGAGAGCCTCAGAGGATCAGGCGACGACTTGTCAAATTATTTCTATTTGATTAAGCACTTGAAGGGTTGGATCCATCACAACTGTTTTGTGGACCCCATAACAGGAGTTTTGTGCGTTCAACTAGGCCTAGATCCATCTCAAAAATATCTTCCAGCATTTAAAGTTGTCTGTATGGGAGACACCAATGGGGTTGACATAGCCCAAGCCACTCATGAGGCGATCCTCAAGGCTGCCAGGTGCATGGATGAGCACAACATGCTAGTCTATGGCCGCACTTTCCCCGCTTCTAGGACCTTAGAAGGATTGTACATAGACGACCATATTGTTATTCAGGTAGTAAACAAAAAAATAACAGGCCGAGGGGCAAAGAAACAGATGAGGTTTTGATGGAACAATCCCGAAGTAGATACCAAGAGCTACAACTACCCAGGTCAGAGAAAAAAGCGTTTGACAAAGAATATCATTTCAAAGCTTGGGGTACTTGTGTTTGTTCCCAAACTGGTAGGATTGGTTCCCCTCAAGAAAAACTTCGTCAGGTTGAAACTTTGGCCACCGAATTAGTGAGGGAAGGCCTCGCAACCAAAAAAGCTTTGCAGAAGTTAATTGGCCTTTTCATCCACCCGTTCATGCACCGACGGGAATGTATGGGGCTTTTTCATCATGTTTACGCTTTCATTGACCAGATGCCCGACAAAGGGCTTCGAAAATTGCCGCCATATGTGAAAGATGAGATCCTCTCCGCAGCGCTAGTGCTGCCTTTAGCGGAGGCATCTGCACGCTGGCCCGTTTCTATACAGATATCAGCTTCAGATGCTAGCTCCGAAAGGGGAGGGAGGGCCAGCACCATAACTAGTAAAGCCATGGCTAAGACCCTTTTTAGATTTTCTGAAAAGAATGGAGAGTATATACTAGGTTGGACTGGGATATGCATGGCATTCCTCCCCCTAGTTCTATGTCGGTTGCCCCTAAGCCATTGTTGGATGCCCTCCAAAAACATCACTGGACAGCCACCCAGTCCATCAAATTTGGAAAGAGGGAGCATATAAATATCCTCGAACTTGAAATGATCAAGCAAGAAATAAAATCTAGAGTGAACAGTGGCAGGGGAGGCTGCCGCGTTGTGAATCTTTGCGACAGCCGTGTGGCTTTGTGCTGCTTTGCAAAGGGCAGGTCAAGCAGCAGGAACTTGAACCACAAACTCAGGAGTTGTGTGCCTTGGCTTTTGGCTGGAGATATTCACTTATCTAATATTTGGGTACCCACTGATATGAATCCGGCAGATTACCCAAGCCGGGGTAAAGAGATTCCACCCCCTAACACTAGCTTGCAGGACCCCCTGCTCGACGAGCAGGTTTTACAGGCGGTGCAAGTCAGACGACCAATGCAAGTGCAGGTTTTATTGGATCTCAGCGGAATGGTTCAGATCCGATTCATAATAACCCGGGGTATCCATGTAAGGATAAGGATGATTATTCACTTGGGAAGTCAAATTCGCCCTCATCGTTTGGTTACCTTATTGACACCCCAAAAAAGAGCATCCCATTTAAGACCACCAAGCTAGAAAAAGAAGTCGTGCCGGAAGCTCGCGACCGCTCAGTGCCCAGATACATTTTTTCGAGAGTTTTTCACAGGAAAAGAGAGGCTTTCAGAACGCATGCGCTTGAACAGCCGCCTGGTGGTTGCAGATGCTTGTCAGTATGTGAAGAAAGGGAGAAAAGTAGAATCCCACATCATGTTTGACAGCGTTTCTTTCAAGCAGTTGTGCTTAGATGCAGCCAAGCCATGTCAATTGTGGCATTTCGGACTTCCATCTGCGTCATTTTCTGTGTGTTGCAGCATTCTAATAAGGGGACCCGTAGGTGGGATAGGCCAGAAGGGGATGGTAGTGTGGAACGTGAGAGATTAGGAAATGAATTGTTGCGTAGAACTTGCTTCCTCATCGATATCCTTGAAAAACACAACAACTATTGGACCCTTGAAAACCCGCTGTCCTCGTACATTTGGTATATGCCGCAACTCGTGAAGAAACTTGACCCCGATAGCGAATCTCATGCTCAGTTTGACCAATACAGTGATGGGTTAAGAATCAGGGGTGATATGGGCCATCCGGAACCATGTAAGAAACCAACCAGAATGATCGGTAATTTGCCCGGTCTCACACTGTCAGTGTCGGTGCAAACATGTGCGTGCAGTGGGAGGCATTCGAACGCCGACAGGGTGGAAAAACAGGTCAGAACTTGCAGGGCATTACCCCATCAAGCTTAGCGATGCGTATGTGCATGTAGCGGCCACGGCCTTGTGTTCTGTTTGTCACGCGCAGTGATAAAGAAACAATCTTCCCTTTGAAGAGTCATATTGGCATGAGGATCAATTGTACAGTGCACGATTTGCATGATGTTGAAGTGTTTAAGCAAGAGACTAAAGGTCCACAGACCTAAACCGTAGATAGCATGAGCCATGGTTCCCGACCACGACCCGATGCCACCTTGTTTCGCTTGAGCCGTTTTTCGAGCCCTTCCTTAGGGATTTGCAAACTTTCTGCGACCGGCATCACCATCTCACATTGAGGGCTGTGGCAAGTAAAAGAAAACTATCAGATGCTGTTCTGGGTGAATATGTCGTGTCACGAGTTATCGCTTGTCAAACATGCACTCTTAGGCTTTCAGCACGTCTTTCCCCAGTTACGAGGTAAGCTTGCCACATGTTGGGAGAACTTGAAAGTGTGGGAAGAACAGCGCGCTACGAAACTCAGGCCGCCTCTTCCAGTCCCACTGTGGCTTTTCATGGTAGGTCTTGCTAGAGCCCACGCAAAGGTTGCAGAAGACACAAGCACAGCGCACATGTGGCGGGGTTTTAGCGTGCTCCTTGAAATAGGGCTATTGTGCATGTTGCGCCCAGGTGAGCTTGTGAAACTATGCCATACAGATGTGTGCTTGCCAGGGTCGTTCACGCTTTGTCAGAACCATGCTGCGCTTCGGGTTGTCTCCCCCAAAAACCGACGACAGTTTGGTGAGCACCAGTTTGTGTTGCTGAAACATGCTAATGCTGTTGAGTGGTTGCGTAGTATTCACGACCCAAGTAATGCAGGGACACTTTGGCCATGCAAGAAACCTCGCTTTGCTGCTTTGTTTAAGCAATTGGCTGGAGAACTTGGAATAAAAAATTGTGGATTTACCCCCAGTAGCTTGAGGCCTGGTGGAGCCACCATGTTCTATAACATTGGTGTGCCCATAGCTTCTTTAAGGTTCATGGGTAGATGGTCAGTGGAGCGGTCTTTAGAGCACTACGTGCAACTCGCTATGGCCACGCAAATTCTCAACCGGTTGGCTCCAAGAGCAGTGTCGCGGCTGAAGAGGCTAGCGTCTTTGTGTCTCCTGCAAGTCCCGTCAAAAGACTGGACGCATCAACTTGCCGACAGTGTTCACACATTGCGCAACTCACCAGCATCACAACTATTAAATTGGTGTAACACATATGTTTCTTTAGCCTAAATGCAACGCCTTGTAGAGCAGCATGGCGATCGCACCGTCGTCGGTGGTGCCCTTTCTGGCTCGCTCTTTAAGTCGTTGACAGAAGAGCAGTTGCGCAGGGCTGCAAAAAGGTATCCCACGGATCCCAATCTGCAGAAGTTTGCCAAAGCCAAAGTAGCAATTCTAGAATTAGATGCGCAGAGTGAGCCGCTTCCATTCTTGCCCGTGCAGATTCAACCCAATGCTAACCCCGCGCAGAGACCTGCATCGGCTGCACGGCAAGTGGGAGAAGCCAGCGCATTTTCAAGATTTCGGAGTTTGCTACAACATAGGTACGTGCTATATGTTGTGTTGTTAGGCCTGTATGTTTGCATGCTGAAACCTGCAGTTTCCACTCTGTTAACAAGGCATCTTGTGAGGGGCGTCAGGCTTTTGGTTCGGCAAGTCACTCATTTTCTTTGTCTCCTTGTGGACGGCGTGTTGGATGAGCTAACTTACCAGCTTGAATTTGCAATTCGCGAAGCTTTGCCATCCAATTTAGAAGACGTGCCTAGGGCCACCATGTCCTTTTTGTCACATGTTTTATCAGCCACCACAGGAGCAGTGATTTCTTTGCTAAGCCAGCATATGTATGCCAGGCGCGTGCAAGTTGCCTGGCGCTCCAGCAGCGCCCAGGTGGCTGCTTGGACCACTAAATGTGCTTTTTGTGATTTTCCTCCTCCTCCCCGCCTCATCACCAACGGTGGGGTTGGAAGCACTATCAATCCTTGCACAAACGATTTTGCTGACTTGACCTCACGGTTGCAGAAGAACTTGAAAAGTAGTATGGAAGTTTTCCGGTGCCAATCCAGCATTCTTTCCGGCTTTCCTTCCAGCTTTCTTTCCAGAATTCTTTCCGGCATTATTGGCAGCAGTTTTGATGGAGTTTTCTCTTTGGGATGCTGAAAGCATCCACGCACAAATCACTCATAGTGTCCCCAGCTTGCAAAAGAAGGCCGCAGCAGATGCACAAGCAAACATTTATGCACGCACAAAAAATATATATTTGGGCAACATGTTGTCCTTATAAATAAACGTGAAGGACTTCACAGTGCCCGGCCAGGACGGCACAGGTGGCTCGAAAAGTTGGGAATGTGGTGCATGTACATGCACAAACCTATATCCATCCAAACAAATGCGCATGTATACATATATATCATGATGGCCTACAAATGCCCGATTTCAACCCTTCGGGTTTGGACAGAAAAAAACAAACTTAGAACATTTGGAGTAGAAATATTTGGGGTTGAATTTTGGAGTGCATAAACAGTGCCAAAGCAAATACCAAAGGAATAACGATATTCCCATATCGAAAACATGTGTGAAACCCAGCAGATTGGACATTTTTTTGGTGTTTTGGGTAAGTTTTGGATCACCATTGCCAAATTTAAGGCAATCATTGTACGGACAAATGCACAAGCATCAAAGGAAAAAGAAAAGCAAGGGTAGGAACAGAAGAGAATACAAGCGAACACCCTCTTTGCATTAAAAGAATGCGTGTACGACACCGGTCGTGGAGTGTACCCTTTCGGTGAGCCTGAAAAATCATTTTTTTTAAAATGCAATATAAAAGGACCGGATAACCCCACAAGTCAACTTCTTCCAATACTGAGCTTCAAAGGTTGTAGCGGGGACGGGGAAGGAAGGAAAGACAAAGGAGGTGGTGAAAGATCGAGAAGGTAAAACAGTTGTGTGTGACAAAGTGGAATGTGAAAGACAGTGTGTGACAAAGCAAGAAGGTATGTGAAAAGATAGTATGCATGTACGTATGTATGTATGTATGTAGGTATGTAGGTATGTAATGTATGTAATGTATGTAATGTATGTAATGTATGCAATGTATGCAATGTATCAATGTATGTATGTATGTATGTATGTAGGTATGTAGGTATGTAGGTATGTAGGTATGTAGGTATGTAATGTATGTAATGTATGTAATGTATGTAATGAATGTATGTATGTATGTATGTAATGTAATGTAATGTAATGTAATGTAATGTATGTATGTATGTATGTATGCATGCATGTATGTGTGTATGTATGTAATGTATGTATGTATGTATGTATGTATGTATGTATGTATGTATGTATGTATGTATGTATGTATGTATGTAATGTATGTAATGTATGTAATGTATGTATGTATGTATGTATGTATGTATGTATGTATGTATGTATGTATGTATGTATGTATGTATTAATGTATGTAATGTATGTATGTATGTATGTAAGTATGTAATGTAATGTAATGTAATGTACTGTAATGTACTGTAATGTAACGTAACGTAACGTAACATAACGTAATGTAATGTAATGTATTGTATGTATGTATGCATGTATCTATGTATG